TTTTTTTTTTTTAAATCTAAAAGCCATCTTGTATTCCCCTCTAGGCTGATTGGAGTCCAGATCCCGAGGAAATCTCCAGATCAAATGCCCAGTAAATAAAACACTGAGCTAAGACTTGTGGAAGAGCTGCAGAATGGATGGATTTTATGACCAGCAAGTGCCTTACATGGTCACCAATGTGAGTGATCAGTTCAGAGTTGGTGTTTATAAACTTGACTCCGACTTATTTCTGTGGGGGAGTTTTGCAGCCAGAGTATCTGCTTTGTTACCGCTGTAGGGGCGACTCTTCATCTGGGAGCTTTGCCTGGAAGATGAGCCTATCTTCTTAGTTATTTCAATAAAGCATCATGTTCTTTTAAAGACAGTTTTGGGATGATTAAAAAATCATGTACATGATTAGCGGATGAGAGAGGCAAGAGCAGCAACAGCTGCATTCAAAGTTTCTGGCTGTGTTTGCCTGCAACGCTCAGAAGAATGAAGTTGAGGCAAACGTTAACATTTTTTTCTTTTTTTTTTTTTTTTTTTGCTTTCAGGACTTCGCAAACAATGTTATAAGAAGCACGGGGAAACAAAGCAGTCTATTATAATCTCATATCTGGGTTCTCCTGCGTAGCTTATGCAGAGGGGATTTATGTGCTATTGTGTAGGTTTGTGTACTTTAGATGCTAAAAATACATGGTTGGTATTGTGTTGCTGCTTGAACACATTATACGTGTATCTGTACAAATAGATGTCTACATAGATAGATAGAAATGTGTTGCATTTAGACACAGGAATCTTTTGGAGGATGTTAGGTGCTCAGCAATATCTTTTGCTAGAAATTGGAGGCTGCAAGACGATCATTTCCCTGTTTGAAAATGCAAAGAAGTCATGCCGGCTTTGAGTATTCTTGATTAAATGAAAAAAAAAAAAAACAAAAAAACAACACCCTCAGATTTCTAAAGTAACTGATCTTTCCTGTTTATAGAATCCGCGTGGGAGAAACTGTAATGAGAGACCGACAAATGTCAGGAAAAGAAAATTCATTAACAGAGACCTGGCTCATGATTCAGAAGGTGAGGGCCCCCCCCCCCCCCCCTCCCCCCATTACTTACTAATGCAGAGAAGCTTTTTGAGAGCTGTTTATTTATTTATTTTGGAGATAAATATATCTAGATCAATCTGAATAAACAAGACAAGAAAATTGCATTTACTACTGCAAAACAAACGGGGAAAAGCAATAAACTGATGAAGTTGATATTCTTTTCTTGACTTACCCTGTTGCATTTTAGGTACTGCTACACATGTACATGGATGTCATGCACTGAGGCCAAGCCTTTGCAGCATCTGACATGGCACCTGGCTTTTTCACCTTCAGGCCTCTTGAGATTCAAGGCTTTCCTCATTCCTCCAGTCTTTTAACATCCTTTTCACTGGTGCGTGTTCACTGGTGGTAGCAGGAGCGAGAATGCCAGCGTGGAGGCTGGTGGTTTTCACTCTAGCTTTACTGTAGAGCTAGTAGTCAGGCTCCTGGTGTCTGGTAGCCTGTTTCTATTGCTGTGTGACACTGGTAGAGTTAAAAATCCTGGGAAATTCGGTTAAGGAAGTCTAAAGTGGATGAAGTTTTGGAGGGCCAAAGATTTGTAACTTAGTCCCATCAGTAACTACTCACATGATTGTAGCTTGAGAACTGTAGTCTAGCAGTAGCTGTTAACACTTCTTTAGGTTACAAGGTCAGTATAGATGCTACACCTACACCCCTGTAAGTACGTAAGACATATAGGAAGGTATATAGGGGCCTACAACTTACCCTACATAAATCTTACCAGGGTGAGGACTTCGATACACTTTTCAAAATCCCTACTTACTTGTTCAGAAAAGTTTATTCTAGGGTAGATTGAAAAGAAAACTTCCTGATTTTCAGTTAAATGATTTCCCAACATGAACATGAGGTATCAGTCCGCAGGATAAATGAATAGCCTCTGTCATTTAAGCGTGTGTAAATAGTAATCTGTCAGCATTCATAAAAGAGGAAGTCTCTCTCAAAATACAGTAAATTAAAAATAAACCATTTGTCAGTTCAAATATTCTACTTAGTCTTAGTAAACAGAATTTTCATAACTGAGTTTCTGAGCTTTGCAAGTAAGCCGAATGCTGCTCTGGTTTACACCCATTATAAGCAATTGATTTCAGTGAATTGCAAAAAAAGATAAGCTGCTGCAAAACTCAGTCCATGTAGAAAGTGGTTTCACTTTAAAGTACAGTGAGTACAGCATAGAGGAAATAGTGATGATTCTCTTGTCATACAAAGTAAAAGATAAGGGGAAGTACAAAAGGTTTCCCATTTCTGTTTGCTATTGCAGCATCTCAGATCTTTGCTTCAAAATTTTTTTGTCATAGTTACGACCCTACTAATAAAAATATTCAGTCATTGCTCAGGCAGAACACCCACCGAAGTCCGAGAGAGCTTTATCTGGGGTAGATATTGCAGGAGGAGGCCCGAATTGTGTAAGGAGAAATAGTTCACCTGTAAGAAAGATTATAATTTTTAACTTTGCTATGTATTGCTGAATGAGCCTTTTATACTGTAGAGCATGGTTAAGATTCTGGTTATTATTTCAAGAGTTTATAAAATAATACAGTACTTACTTTTTTTTTATTAATAGGGGTAGAAAAATCATTAGCTGCAACCCGAAAATACCTACTTTGTCTGTACGTTTGACTGCCAAAATAGAATTCACGTGCATTGTTCTTCAGGAAAAATATATTTTCGAACATATTTTAATCTTCTGAAGAGATTAAAGGTGTAAGTCTTTTATCCATGTCTTCATCTTTTTGCAGAACTCTTTCAAGATCTGAGCCAATTACAAGAGACGTGGCTTGCAGAAGGTAAGGGAAAAAACTGCTTGTAAAAAGAGGAAAAACAACTCTGGAGGGAAAAAAAAAAAAAAGTCCTGAACTTGCTGTCTTAATGTTCAGCCCAATTAATTGAGCTCTAAAAGAGCCACCTCATGTGTCATGCATACATTAGAGCCTCTGATGAGTTTGTCTTTGGGGACTCTGGGGCTGCTCTACCCAGTGTCATCACAAATTACCAGGAGAAATTGCTTCCAGCTCACAATCACATCTGCTTTTGGCAAGAACTAATGCACCAAGACTTCAAGTTCTAAGCCTCTGTTCAGATTTTAATTGCAATTGATCAGGTTTATATTATTGTACCTCGAGAGACTACATACAGCCAGAACTGGGCTTGCTGTTTCCTTTAGAGCAGCACATATAATTATTTGGTGTTCTGGTGGAGTACTTTTCTGATGGCAGAAATTAGTTTCTCTGGGTTCATCGGGACGGGATGCTTCAAGATTTAAGTGCAAGTGTCTTCTTTCCACCTTGTTCACAACACAGAACATTAGGTGTGTATGGAATACTTAAAAAGTACTATTTCTTTTTTTTTTTTTTTTTTTTTTCCAGAAACCTTTAAATATTTTGCATGTTATTTTTGTCTTCATATTTGTAGTTGTAAGATTGTGTACTGGGTGATCAGAAAACTGGCATCGGTCTGTTTTACACCTGCTTGGGCTTCTAAGTATTTCAAATAATCTTGCAGAGCACATTCTACTGAAGAGAGAAGGTTTAAGAACAATAATGTAGAAATCGGAATTTAGAGTAGCTGTTGAGAGATTCATTTAACAATGACAAGAAATCAACTGCTGCATTAAGAGAAATTTAACAAAATGCAAGGTAGCTTTCTGCTTGTTGAAGTGTATTTGTTCTCTTCAGCAATATTTTCTGATTTTTTTTCTTTGATATTTACAATACTGTTTATTTCAAGAATAAAGATTTTTATGCATTGTCAGTTCTTAATATTTCTGGTTGAAATTTTTATGTAAACTTCTGCATCAGAAATAAACATGATTTTGATGCAAGTTAACATAATCTCTCCAAATTTATCCTGATTTAAATGAATGTGAGTATTCACATATGTTTAATTTTTATCATACTGGACTATGCACAGTTGTTCATAGAATAGATGTTGTGCTTTTTTGGGAAAGGAGGAATGTTGGGGTGAACTGCTTGCTGCTGGTTTTCATAGAAAGAGGGAAATACTGCTGATGACTGCTTGCCTACATACTGATTTTAACAGCTTTATATATAGTTAGTCAAGTTCTTAACCTATAAGTAAGTTGTGGGGTATTGTTTATTTTGCTGACATTTTTATTCTCCTGGCATTATTTTTAGCATGTGGTTATTCTGTATATAATCAAAAAGTCCTCTTTAAATTAATGGATCAGAGAATATATTTTTATGAATTAATATGGTTCTTTCCTAATCATTGAAAACAGGATGTCCTGTACTAAGATCATTTTTTGTAGTATAATGATCAGATACAACTGTAACTGTCTCCCTGTGGTAATACTCCTAAGAATCTCCTTATTTTGTATCGTCTCATTCATTCTAACAAGCCAGAAGTATGTTAAAATACTACTCAAAAGATACTATTTTTTGATGGAGAGGAGAACTTTTAGTTTGATTTTTCACTGGCATGGATGTTTTTGTTTCTGAAAATGATTAAATTTCTTTGATTATAAGTCAGAAAAATACAGGCAGATTCATAATGCATGTGCAGATAATGTAAATTTGAAAAATAATATGGAATGTAAAACTGATGTAATAATTTCTGTAGGTACATAAATTACTGTAATGGCAATTTTTATTCTGGAGGCACTGCTTATTTTAGACTAGAATGAATTGTTTGAAAGCCTTTTTTTCTCTTTAGCTAAGTCTATTTCACTTAATAAATTTAGATAGGTTTTGAGAGAGAAAGGTGTCTAGTCCTGTGTCAGCTAGGTGGAGGAACCTTTGTAAAAGCAGATAGCATCATCTGGTAAGTATTTAAAAATGAAAAAAAAAAAGTTGCCTTTTCATATAGCAGAGGATAATAAAGCTAAAGAATGTTATAATTATATTTTTCCACAGCGTATTACAAATAAATATTACAGATTTTTCAGTGTTCTAGAAATATTTTAAGAAATCTATGTGTTTCAGGCCATGCCATGGTTTTAGCTGTTCCATAAAATGCAAACTTTGCACAGCTTTTCTAAAGGCTAAACTAAAACTGAAATAAAAAGTCAAGATGAGAAAATCAAATATTGAGCTGTTAACTTGATCCCAAATTTTTATTAAAAAAACCCACCCAAAACAACTTTTGGTAGTCTTTATAATATACTAGTGTTTGAGGATATTGTAGCTCAGCTCTAATGTCTACATGATTGAGCTTAGCCAGGAAACAGATTTTTAAATCAGACTTGTTTACCCATTGCTAGATGTGTCCATTTATGTTCTTCTGGACCTTCATAGGCTAGAAGTCTGCCAATTTGGCAGCATCAGTAATGTTTACATATTTCTTTTCATAATGCTCTGGAGCCAGGGAAATGACCATGAAATTTTAAAACATCTTGACCCTTTTTAAGAAAAGCAGTGGCAGCTGACCAGGTTTCTCCCATGAGTTCAGATCCCCACTGGGGAGTAACCAGGTCAAAAATCTACTTACTAGTTAGGAGAAGAAAGTGAGTTGCATTTTATGACACACAAAAATGCTGTGGATTTTTTTGTTTTGCTTTTCCTGAAGCTATACTTACTACATCACGTATTTTAGCCTGGAGATTTTTACAGTTAGTGTCACTTGTGACAAGTTGGTGGTAAACAAGTAAACACAAAATAAATGTATTCTTTTCCCATTGAAAATGGTGGGAGGTTCACATGTGTTAAAGAATTAATCCAAAATGTAAACAATTCAGTAACCTCTTTAATATTTTATTACTCCATAATTAACACGCTGAATACTGCTTACAGAAAACTTACAAATGTATTCCACTAGCTGCATACTAGATTTTTATGGGAATGAGTTTTGCTTCTTACTCTGTGTAGTATTAAATATGTAGGAAAGGATCTAAATTATTTTGATGTAAAACTTACCCTGAATAAAGTTACCTCATGTCAATTGTTATGCAGGACAGAAGATAGATTATAACTCTTTCCTGATGCCAGAAATTTAAAGTGGGAAGCCTTTAAAACTTGTTTCAACCTTCAAACTTGAAAGGAAGTAGTTAAAATTGCCTATTGCTAACCAAGGCAAATATTATTCAGATATTATGTTTTGTTTTATATTTAAATAACTTGATGGCAACATTTTGTCATGATAATATTATAAAATGACTTTATTGATTCTGTATATTTGGAATCAGATTGGTTTTGGCAGATAGCAATTGTTCGGTGACTTGAAAAAAATGGTTCAAATATTAATCTAATGATATCTCATCATGGTAGCTGTCACTTCTTAGTCTGGAATAAAAAGAAGAGAGAACAAATTCTTAGTGAGTGAAAGTCTCCTTTCCATTGTGAAAGCATTTGGTTTGGGGGGAATAACAGATTAACAAAACCCCAGATTTTTATTTAAAATTACTCTTTCAGATACTAGTTTCTCCTAGAGCTTGTTAAAGATACGTAAAAGGCATACCAAGCAAAGACAAATAATGAATTTATGCACTAGATCTGCTTCTTAGAGCAATAGATAATATGCTTCTCAGATGGTAAAACTGAAAAATAAAATATAACGTACTTTGGGTCACTTGAAAAAATACAAAAAGATTAAGTGAACAGTAAGTGGTCTGAAATAATAGCTACAGGTAACGGGTTCATGCCTCTACTGCAGCTTAGCTAAATTGAATGGATGGCTACTACAAGCTACCAGTATTTAAAAGCCAGTTCTTGGTATCTGAAAGTAAATTATTTCTCTCAAATAGTTAATACCCAAATTTGGAATGAACTTTAGGAAATAAGTTTCTGCCCTGGGTTCTCCTGTTATGAAGGATGTACCAGCATCGCGATGATGTCTAAGCTAGTGTTGACTTCTAGTTTATTTCTTAAATGAGGAGGTATGAAAATGAGTAGTTTCTAGTTCTCAAAGGATTATTTTTAATTAAAGGAAGTAGTAGATCTTCAAATATTAGTCTAGTTAAAGTGACTTCATTTAAATCAGTGAAGATGTGTAGCAGCTTACTCTGGCTAACTACCTTTCTTGGGCTAAAAAGTTGTAAAATTTACCCAGTGTAAGGCAAATGCTATGTAGCCACATTCAAGAACTATCCACATTTTTATAGGAGCAAAAATAGTCAAGAAATGATAATTTAATACCTCCATGGCTGAAATCTGTCTGATGAGGGCAGACATCTAAAAAGCAGTGAAAAGATTTTCATTTTGGAATTTGTCATACAAAGAATAGCTTCTTTTCTTTTTTTTGGTTCTAGTGATCTGACAGATTTGGCTTTCAAATACTCATAACTCTTGATCTTAAATATCTGTGCACAAAAAAACAGAAAAGTTAGACCTAGGCAAAATGGGGGGGAGGGGGAGGGTGCTCTTTTAAAAAGAAGTCCAAAGGAAGTAAAACCACCAGAAATCTACAAGTCTGAAAGTTTGTGTAGTAATAAACTTTTTAACGCTTTTCTTGTTTGCTGGAAAAGTAGATGCCTTTTACTCAAAATAATAATTTTTGAAGGCGTAGTGGGGTTTGTAAACCATGAGGGATATAGCGAAATGTTAAATGTGAATGTTCCTTTTAAGCTACCTTTTTTTTCATTTTTAGTACAGCAGCAAATGAAGAGCAGATTCTGCAAACCCATCTTCATATTCCTAAGGATTATTCACATAAGGAAGAATTTTAAGATCTGGAGCTAGTTTTGAACTGCATTTAAGTTTATTAGTCAGAGCATCTCACTTTATGTAAAAAGGGTTTTGGGTTGCTTTGACAGCAAATCCGGTGCTTATGGGAAATACTATTTTTTTACCATCTTGAAATTTGTCACTGTTTTACTTTCTGAATGCTCCTTTGTTAGAAACAGTTGTTCCCGTGGAAAAAAAAAAAAAAACAACACAAAACAACAAAAACACACCCCGCCCAGCTCTTTCAGGAATACTTAAAATTTATACAATCTTTCAGATATTTAGAAGTAACAGTGAATCAAAGAAATCTCAATTGACTCCTTACTGTTGAGGCCTGAAGTCTTATTTTAAATGAAGCCAGAATACTACTGTTCATATATAATTCCCTGTCAATTTCTTTTGCCACTCTGAATAAATCATTGATATTTTAAAACGAATTGCTCTTAGCTCTAAAAGTGAAGCTTGAGGTCAGAGAGCACAGTACCGCAGGAAGTGTTCTGCTACCCAAAATAAAGTTTTAAGTGAAGCGAGGAGGTTTGCAGCTTCTTGTTTTTCTGGAAGGTTTCCGTTTTTTAGCAGGAACACCTTTCCCTGGAGTGCAGCTGAGCTTCTGGAAGCAGTTTGTGATTGGGAGAAGGAAGAGTTAAATTTAAGCCCTTTATAGTTCGCTTAACTTTTCATTTATTAAATACGTTCCTCAGCAGGTCTGTGCTGCATCTTGAGACAAAGCAGTGAAATCAGTGTGTTTATGCCTAAAGTTCAAGTTTACTTTGCTGTAGCTTTCTGGAAGGGTGTGACATGAAAAGCTTGTGGTTGGGGCCACATGGTTCATGCTGGACTGTGTTTTTGTGAATGGAGGCAGAACTCCAGTTCTGACTGCTTGTCTTGAGGAATTGCTTCGGAGATCAGCTGTCTCATTCACTGGCAGAAAGAATGACTCATACATCTTCTGCCTTGTTTGGCTCCAGGTCATTGTTACAGTGGATAGAGCTGGTTTTAATTAAATATTAACTCCTTTTGTCCTGGATGCTTGTTAATGGGGACTTTTTATTTTTGTTTACTTGCAATGAAAGTAAGCTAACAGGCCCTAGTTTTCAGCTTTTTTTTTTTTTTTCAAATTGCTTTCCCTTTGCAAAATGAGCTGTCAGTTCAGCTTTTCAAAGGCTTTTTAAAGCTCTAAAAACTACAAACAAGTATTAAGTATTTTTGTGCTGTAGATGCTTGCTTTTGGCAAACTGATTTTAACTCAGTAAGTAGTGAAACTGTAAAATCTAAACTGATAACATCGTCAAGATCATCATTAACATTTCTGTATGCTTCCCAAATCCTCTTGAGACATAGCTATAATCAGAATAAAAAGAAAACTTTTGGTAATAATCTAGACTGAGCTGGATATCTTATGCTGCAGATGTTGTCTACTTCAGGAGTCGGAGACTTGATGGCTCTGAATGTGGAATGAACTAATGTAGCTGCTTCTGCTATTAGCAGTAAAAGCCACGTGCTTAATATCCTTCAAAACCTTTTATTAGTCTTTTGGAATATACTTGCCTTCTCAAACCCCCATAATTAAGTAGCTCAGGGAAGTATTCTCATTCAGTTAGATGATCATTTCAGATATCTTTTTCAGTTTTCCTCTGAATGGCAAAGTAAAAAAAAAAAAGTTTTGGTGATTTATGCATTGTGTCTTGTGTTGAGTATGTTAACAGAAGACCAATGAAGATTTTATGGCAGCCTTGCTGAATTGCAGTATTTGTGAATAAAGGAAAAGAGGAAATGAATGGCATATGTATATATATGTGCAGAGAGTTGCAACACTGCAAGTTACATTTTCCTTTCTGACATTCAGGCTGAAGTGTCTTTACCTGTCTGTTTAATTTGCTACAAAGTCTGCCTGTAATTATCCAAACTCAAGGTACAAAAGCCCTCTTCCCTTTGAGTAATGGGATGATGTATCCCAACGATTTTCCTTCTCACAGCAAGATGCTGGTGGAAGAAGTCTGTATTGGGCTGATGGTAGTTGCTTGCATTTCTGCAGTATGATCATGTGCGAGTTTCAGTTCTGCTAGTTTAAAAATAATATCAGATTAAACAAAGGAGTAATTTAAGTTCTCATTTCCAACAGTTAGTGGATCCTTTTAATTTCTTTGTATAGGCTTGTGGTCTTGTTTCTAAGGTACTGGTGCTACTAAAATTAGCTTCCAGTAGGAAATGTATGTTCCTGGGTTGAATATTTTGGATGTTATTTGTTTTGTTTATATTTGGCAGGGTTTTAAACACTTCTTAACTTGCTGTATTCCTTTTCCTATAGAGGCTTTTAAGGCTATGTCAATATTGTATTGAAAATAGATTTTGACAGCGTAGTCTCCACCTATTTCTAGAGTACTGATAAGGTGATGCGCCTTGATCTCTGTTAAATACGCCTTCATAAATTTTGGGGATCCATGAATGAAGATATTTTTCTTGTTTTTCTGTTTTTCTCCATACCAAATCAGGGGTAATGACAGTATCTCTAAAGCAATATACTGGTTTTCTGTGACAGTTCAACCAGATATATTTTATTTTTTCTTACTCTTCTGGCTGGAAAAAGAAGGGCCTCATTTACTGATATATACATATATCTCTACAACAGATTTGTTCTGGAGTAAGTCAACTTAAACTGATAAAACCAGAATAAAGCAGCGGTAGAGCAGTCCGGTGCACAGAGTACGCTCTAGAAAGTTATGTAAGATTGCTGTCCCAGTTCTGAGATCACTAAATGTAGCCTCCCGATTTCAACAGGAGGGTTTTTGTTTTCTTTTAGCCTTTTTCGGATATCCCTGGATTCACAAATTAACATATATGTATATATATGTATATATAAAAAATGCATGTGTGTGTATAAAAAATTAGAGTCATACTAGCCTCCTTGCTGCATTTGAAAATGATAGCTGGCTTAAGAAAAATGTGTGGGATGTGTCTTCTGTAAACAAGAAATTACTTGATAAAATTACTTTAACTCTGAATGTACTCACAAACTCTTCCAAAACAATTGGAAATGTAAGAAATCCTTAGGAACTGATTTTTAAGTAGGATACCTTGATTTCATAATTGGATTCTTCTGTGACAGTCAAATATTTGGCATTTTTGTAAGAAAAATGCCTAACATTCGCGTGCAGTGAATTGCATGAAATGTCAGAAATTGCAGAGTGTTAGTATTTGGGCTCATATTGTCCCTGAGTTAATTTCTGGTAAAAGTCCTGTGGTTTCTCTGGAGGAAAGAAATTTAATGCATCAAAAATACTGGGACTATTTGGTTTGGTAAAATACGTGTTTTATACAGCTTCAAACTTTGAGGAGCTAACGTGTCCTCAGAGGTACTGGTTTCTTCTAAAAGGATAGGTTATTAAAAAAAACGAACAACAAAGCAACAATAGCTATGCTTTTTTTCAGAGTAATGCTAATTACACTTCGTTTATTTATCTTATTCACACTTCTTTTCAAATCTGTGTTTGCAGATTTCCCAAGGTCATTTGTTCTTAAGGGGTATTTGCTGCAATTAGGACAGTAGGGCTTTAAACATTTATTTTAAAACTGAGAGCAAATAATTTTTTTGATATAATAAGCCTGATTCTGAACCCTTTACCCAGGAAAAAAACTCTCAGTTAAGTCGTTATAAATATTTCCTGAGTAAGGAGTGGAGCTCTGGTCCGTGAAGAGTACTGTAGTGCACATTCAAAATAATTGTGAGTAACTATAATTAAACGTGTATTTTTAATTCAAACAAATTCTGTTAAAACTAGTAGCAATTGCACATATATAAAGGGTGATGTACGCTTCATAAACTTAGAAAGTGTTCTGAATGGCATTAAAGTTATATTTTATCATTTAACGTATTTAATGGTGTGATAGTCACTGTTTTGATAAATGATTATATAATCAGTATTTACCTCTCAAATTTTGTTGGGTAACCAGATCATGGCATATGTTAACTTTTAATTAAGATCATATGAATTATTTTCTTGTGTTTAGACAAGAAGTGTGTAAATTGAAATATTTTCAAACAGATAATTTTAGGCAGCTTTGCTGTGATGATTCTAGCTAGTGTATGTTGAGGACAAGACGACAAAGTTCAGAGATGGTAAGCTGGATCTCTCTCGGGATGTACCCGAAACCAGTCGTTCTCCGAGGATGCCGCTTCTCAGTGTAATGTTCTGCAGTTACTCAAATGTATTCACCTGTAATATACCACCTATACGTTCAGTGGTATTTCAGCTTAAATGGCTTAAATGAGTTTACAACACAGTATGAGAGATTGGCTAGTGTCTTAGATATACAATGAAAAGGAACTGTGGTACCACAGACACAAAATTATGTATCAGCAGACCATGAAACAATTGTGTTTTATAGCTCAGGTTTGTGACGAAAGTTTCTTAAAAGCGAAGATGATCTTACACCAGGTGAATGGATGTTAATAATGATTCTTGCTTTAAGTAAATCTTTTTTTTTGATGTCTGAAATTTTGTCATTGAACCAGGAATTCTGTGGTCTGGTAAAAGAGTTCTTTTTAACTATTTAAAACAATAACAAAAAACCCCTACTGTGTTGGCTGACTGCCATGAAAAATTGGAATCGCTTTTAAGTAAGCCGAAGGTGTGGTAGTTTGGAGTTAAAGATGCATAAGTGTTAAACACTAGGATTTGGTTTTATGCAGACTTTCCATGCAGATATTTTGAAAATGAGCACTGATGGGTTTTACCAGTGGCATGGTAGGTCCAGACCCTTGTGCAGGGCCAGTGCCAGTGTCAGCCTTCACGTCCTTCCATCCCCACCGCTCTGTGCCGGGGCTGCTCTGGACTCGCACTGCACCGCACAGCTTCACCCCAGGGTTTATCTGATATTAAAATGATGCGCTTGCCTGATTTTCATACCCAACAATGAGAAAAAAAATCCGAGTTTTAATCTTGGCTGTGCTTCAAATTAAGCACAAGAGTCTTTATTTATGCTTTAATGGCTTCTTTTAATTCTTTCCTTGTTTTTGTTTTTTTTTTGTTTGTTTGTTTTTTGTTTTTGTTTTCCTTTCTTCAGCTCAGGTACCTGACAATGACGAGCAGTTTGTGCCAGACTATCAGGCTGAAAGTTGTAAGTATAGTATGAATCATCACTTTCTTAAAAGTATGTATTTGTACATTTATATTTGGGTCTTCGTATTCGTTATTTATTGTGTCATCTGCGGTCATGTGGTAGCTCCTTTCGCCGGTCGGTGACATCAGCGCGATGAATAGATAAAGCAAGTGGCGTTTTGACGTGCGGCCAAAAGAAGTTGTTTGGGCTGAAGGTATAACCTTTAACAGGGGGCCCTCTCCTGTAATTCCCACCCGCTAGGCCCAGGGAAGCAAGGAAAAAAAACTCACGTTGTGGAGGTGCAGGGAGTTTCTCTTGTCTGTAGAGCGAGGAGAAGAGCGTGTTGAGCCGGTACAGATCAGATACTGTGGGACATAGGAGGCAGTTCTGCTGAGCAGAAATCGGGCTGCTCAGTATGTTTTGTGTATAGATAAATAAATAAAATTGTCCGCATAATCAATCAAATACAGCCACTGCTGAAGCATTTTTAAGTCGTCTTAGCATGTGGCGTTTTGTTGCTCAAACAAAATTTCCCTTTGAATTAACGGGAGGAAGCAGGGGTTATGTTAAGCTGGATGCTTTGCATTATTTGCTACTTTACTTAACATGTGGCCAAACGTGTTTTTTTTTTTTTTTTTTTTTGCCTGTACCCCTCAAATCTTGCCTTTAACTGCAAAAGTGCTACTATTCTGTTAAACACTGGCTCCCCTTTGCTGTACCTGCTGTTCTGTGGTTTTGGCTGGTTGCAGGGGCGTAGTAAAGAAATGGCACGAGAAGCATCATCTGACAAAGTCAGAGATTACTTGGACCTTCTTTGTGCATCTTTCTTTCTCATGGCAAGGCTTCCCTCCATCATCAGAAGTCTCTTCTAAATGGTGTCTGCTGATTGCAGCAGAGCGCATGGTAGCTTTTCCGTTTTGCTAAATAACTTAAATAATTTAAGCTATCAGAGTGAATTACTGCAGTTCACTAAACCAGATAGCTGTTAAATACAGCATTAATGTACTGAAATGTTAGGATTAAAATTAGAGAGATTAGAAAGAATTGCATTAAAATAGTCTTTAACCCAAAAAACAAATTCAGACTTGTTGAGTTTTCTCATAAATCTTTTAGAGGATTTTTTCCAGTTATTTAGAAACTATTTTAAGAAGAATTTATTAGGAGTATTCCTAACAACATTTTGTGGGGAAAAAAAGAAAAAAAAAACACCAACATTTTTTTCGTCCCCTGGACTCTGATAGTATATCTGCACAGCAACAATTTATTTTTGTTTTTCTCTAGAAGTTCCTGCACCTATACCAACCAACAATCTGGTCACTTTTAAACTTTTAAAGTTGCCCTTTGTAACAGGTGTGGTTTTTTCCTCTGGCTTCAAAGAAGTTTTGTTTTGGTTTGGTTTGGTTTTTTTAAATTAAATTATAATATGAAAGCCAAAACTATTCTATAAGTTGAAAATCAGATATGTTATCCTACATATGGAGCTGTGTCCAAATATAGTCACGTATGCATACGTCCTTTGTGTAAGAGTACAAAGTTCAGTTAGGGCTTCTATTAACCCACAATTATCGTTACACAACAAGTCAATGATTCTTGGAAAATAATTTGTGAACTGTGAATGAAAAGCTTCATTGAAGCTGGTCACTGCTTTTGGTGATAAAGAAATTTTCCTAATATGGCTATTTTATTAACGCTGTTAGCCACAGCTTACACAGTATTATCAAAGGAACATTTATTTCTTCATTTCAGTTGGTTTCTTTATCTTAAGTAAAGGTCAGGAGAGCTTCCTGGAGAGTTACTCTGACAAAGGTTATGGAGTTTCAGACATATACTTGGATATAATATATGTAGCTGTGGGCTCTGCAAAACAGGAACGGAGATCAACATAAGCAAAGCCATGGGGAAATTAATGCTGCAGAAGTAGCACAATTGTGACTGTTTTTTCTAGGATCCAAACCTGCCTTCAAACTCTATTATAATGACTTACTATATATAATCTATAAGTCTGTAAGTGCTCACCATGTTACTGGCAGCAGCCTGGCAGGAGCACTTGGCTTTTTTTTTTTTTTTACTATTTTTATTTTTTTTAAACATGAGAGAGGATGGGTAAGCTTTCATAGATTCAGTGTTTAATACACTTAATCGAGCCAAAAATGGTGAAGGGCAGAAGTGTAATCAGTGAAGAAGGTCACAACCACTTTCTAGTTCAGGGTCAACCAAACCGTGGTCAGCCACCTCATTTAAATTTGCTGCACAGATTTCATTTATGGAGATGTGTTTGGCGGGGTGTGGTGGTGGTGTGTGTGATCTGCAGAATATGTAAAGAAAACTGAAGTGCTCCACTGAAACAGTTACAGTCTGCAGTCCAGGTACAAAATTAGTGACATTTTATTTCTAGTTTCATTGCTTGAGAAATGGGCTTTGAAACTGAGGTAGATTTGTGGTCTTAAATTGAGACTTGTAACATTGAAAGGAGTTGTAAGAAACTTCAGTAACAGTAGCAGTGCTGGAAAGCTGTGCTTAAAACTTTCTTGCCTAGAAATCTCCAAGTTAGTCAACTCCTGAAGCAAAGGTGTGGAGGGTAGCGGAGGAACTGATACTGCCAAGAACATGTGCTGTGTCCTAGCACCGAGCAGGATTAAATGCCCCTTAAAGTGCTGTGGGTTTTGCATTTCTGTTCTGTAATAATGATTTTAACTAGTGAAACTGTATTGGTATTAGTAACTAAGGGAAACATTTAGTTTAGATTAGATATACAGTCCACTTTATCCACTTAAGGATTTAACTTCAAAGCTAGCTTGGGACCATGAATATTTCAATTATGAGTTGCTATTAAACTTCAATCAGTTTTCAAAAAGCAAATATAATATATATATTTATAATTAGGTGTGGGCTTTAGATATTATGAGTGAGATCAACAGCTAGCATAACTTCATGTGATATTAATGACATTACTGGAATTACGCATATTTCTACTAAGCTGAGGATCCAACGTGTCAGGCTTCCCCTTAATGCTTTAAACTTCAGTGTACCTGTTTAAAGTTGAGTTTATTTTGTTACTCCATTATGTCTTCTGGAAGGAGGTCCTTCCTACCGTAATAATCTCAGAAATGTCTGCACTTCCAAACCTTTTTTTTTTGTTACGGCGTCCAAAGCCCCGTCTTGTCCATCTTGTATTACCTTTTTAGTAATTTTTTTTTTAACTTCAATACCTATCACAAAGAACATTTAGCTCAGAGTGAGCAGAAAGAAGAATAGATAACAACTAGCCTGTTTGGATGAAATTTGAAAAACAAATCGCAGTTTAGTTTCTTATAACCTTCTGCTTTCTGCAATGACTGAACTTTTTGAGTTCTAAGGGAGAAAAATGTGTATCAAAAAGATTTTTTTCAGCTTGCAATTACACTAGAAAAATATCGCAATTGAATATTAAATAGTATAATTTTCTTACTCTTCCATTTCCATTCTCGTAAGAAATAAAAATTCCACAAAAAGAGGGAGGAATCACTTTTACAGGCATTTACTTGGAAATTCTGTGTTAGGCAGGTTGGTTTTGCCCCATTCTGAATCTGCTTCTACACTTCATCTGACCTGTTTGCTATATATTCAAGTGACTTCCTAATGACTTCTTCTTTTAGCAATTACATGAAAAGTTGTGTAAAGCAAAAATGCAAAATCTGTTTCTCAAAAAAGGTGAATGCTTTTTTTTTTTAAATCAGCGTTCGGTGTGTGACACTTTTTCCGAATTCTTATCTAATTCGTAGACTTAGTTTTTCTGTCCGTATAAAGTCAGTATTCAGGTGTCGAGAAGGGTGACCTGTGTTGACTTCCTCAGATAAGGTTTCCTATTGTTTCAAGTCCATTTTCATATACTGAGGAGGAGCCAGATCCTGAACTGGTTGTAATCAGTGGCGAGGCTTTCAGGTACTGTAGAACAGCAAGGACTTTCCAATATAGGAGTAAAAATGAACAAAGTGTTCAGTTTGCTGGAAGTCAATAGCTGTTGAGGTGAAGATTGCTTGCTCCCATTGTTTGGATGGTTTCTGTGACAGACACAAGAGGAAGTAGGTAGGATTTGCTGATGTTTAAAGGATGTAGTTGGCAGACAAAACTTGGTATTGTCAACAATATGCTGATTTGTAATTCGACCTTGGTACAATTGGTTATAAATGGGGATTACCCTGCACCAAAACAGATTGCCTGGTGTCTTAATAGCATAATCGTGTTTTGTTTTGTTGTAATAATATGTATTTACATTTACATTTGTAAACAAACAGAGTTCGGGTTTTTTTTCTCTTTCTTCTTTTGCCCTAAAATGTAGGTTATGCATTTAAAGTTGATAAACTCCAGCTTTTTGCTTTTTATTTGTTATTGAATTTCTGCTAATGAGGATTTGTGCTGTGCTTCACCTTCTCTTTCATTTTGTTCCTGTATTATTTCCCTGACCATCACAGCCTTAACTTAACACTGCCAAGGGGTAAATGTTAATGTTAGACCACAGCTGTTGACAGTAAATGGGAAGGGCTGACTGTAAAATCTGTGCTCTTCCATGTCTGATTAAACTTTAAGATAGGAAAAATACTTTTTTAGTAGTGATTTTGTTGCAGATCTTTCACGACCTTTATTCTTTCTCTTACCTCTGGTTTTTTTTCCTCCAGGTTTAGCAAGGAGCTCTTTCAATGTAGATGCCAGGAGCCTTAAATTATTCAGAGATGTGCTTTTTAGATGCTCTGGCTTGCAATCTTTAAAAGCCTGTTAAAGAGAGATTCTTTACATAGGCTTCAGGTAGCTGTATCCTTCTGTCATTTTAACTAATGGCTTAGGGTATTCCGAATGCAGTTTAAATGAGGAAAAGCTTTAATATTTATTTACATTTTTGCAACATACAAAATCATTATTTCCCCCCCCACTATCAGGTGAAAAATGCTCTGTTTGTTTTATTTTCTTTTTCTTTCTTGATTTAAATTTCAAAAGTGAATTTCAGAACTAGAAGAGCATTTCCTGTTTGCTTTGGTATAGCA